CTGGCTGGGCTGGGACTGCCCTGAATGGCCCTGAAGGCCCTGCAAGAACAGAACTGCTTTGGATTCTCTCAGTTCTGGCCATACTCTGCTTTAGGTAAGCTGGATTTCAGACATCAATCTTCCTTCTTATTCCCTGCTGCTCATTCAAGGGCTCACAGACCAATTACATTTATAGTGACTGTAAATAATGCAGGGTTTTGCTAGGAGGGGGACAATTCCAAAACTTTTCTGAAATAAGCTTTTTACCTCCATATTTTTACAAGGGGTGACTGTTTCATGTTCCTCACACTGTCCCAATTGGCTGCTGCTCCTTCTCCTTGTTTTAATTTTCCAGAGGAATGGAAATGCATGGAAGCTCTGGCCTGCCTGTGCTCCATACCCTCTCCTCCTAAATGGAAGATTTTTGGTTGTTAAAACAAACAAAGGTCTTGCCTTAATCATTCACCCTCATTTCCTGTGTTAGTCCGATACATGCAACTTTCCAGCAAGGAATTGAAAATCCCTGGCAATTTTAATTAGATCCACACATTTAAAAAAACCCTTTTATCCCCTGAATCTTGCATCAGACCTGATTATTTTTGCCTTTTGGAGTAATCCTGCTCCTTCTGAATTTACTTCTTACAGCTAATTTCTCCCTTGTTCACGGGGGTAGTTTAGAAGCAAAATTTGGGACAGAAAAGCTTAATTTTTTTTTACTACCTTTCTCTGAGGTACTTGAGAATTTTTTCCTATTTCATAAAAACGGTGTTAAAACCAAGTAGGCCGTTGCGACACTCAGAAAATATTCTGCCAAATACCTCAGAACTTACAAATCTCTGAACCAAATTAGTCCAGCATTAATTCTCCAAAATGCTCCGCTCCTTTCTAGTGCAGAGCAGAGCTTTGGCCCGTTTTTCCTGTCGAGGCAGACAGGAATGATTTGCAGGGGCAATGAACGTCACTGCGAATTTCTCGGAGCCCGACTCAGCGCTCAGGCCAGGCCAAGATGAGGATGTTTAACACATGACAGCATCGGGGCTGAAGAGAGTCAGGGCTCCATCTGCACAGGGCACAGATCCCACGGACACAGAAACTGCTCTGGGACTGCGAGTAGGACGTTGGAGGAGGGAAATTCACATTTCCATCGGTGTTCCCACCAGGAATGTGAGGAAATCCTGGTGCAGATGGAAGTGAAGCACAAGGTGTGGTGTTCCAGGGGCTGGATCTGAGTGACATCGGGGGCTGCAGCTCTGATCTCTGCTCTGGGACAGGCACAGGAGCCAGGGAACGGCTGGAGCTGGGCCAGGGCAGGCTCAGGCTGGAGAGCAGGGAAAGGTTCCTCTGTCCCCAGAGGGTGCTGGCACTGCCCAGGCTCCCCAGGGAAAGGTTCTTCTGTCCCCAGAGGGTGCTGGCACTGCCCAGGCTCCCCAGGGAATGGTCCCGGCCCCGAGGCTGCCAGAGCTCCAGGAGCGTTTGGACAGCGCTGCCAGGGATGGACAGGGTGGGGCTGTTGGGGGGTCTGGGCAGGGCTGGCCATGGGACGGGGTGAAAAAAAGACAGGTAGAAAACAGCCTCAAAATCAGGTTTTCAAATCAAAAAACAACCGCTAGATCAGGTTTTTAAATCCAAACACCGCATCTGCCAGAGGTGCAACTCCATGGGCAGGGACTGGAGAAGACAAAGGGCATGCACTGATTTTAATTCAGCACAGAAATATCTGGTTTATCAGGTTTTCATTTCCCCTAGCAAGAAATCTTTCCTTAATATCAAAGCTTGGATTTTCAATTTGATTTTTGATTTTTTGTGATGCATGAAGTAAAATAAAGAATATGAGAAGGAAGGACTTCTCCTTTCCTAAATCCCACAGGTTTTGGGGGACTTTTTTGCCCTCCCTAAGCAGCAAGAAATATGCAGGAATTTCACTTCTAACACTCCCCCAGGACAAAGTGTGGCTTTACCTGGAAGACAGTGAGGATGGCAGCAGGGAAGGTATCGAAATTCGTGGTTGGAGTTTCATCCTGGAAATTGAACCTGGAGAGAAGAGAAAATTAAAAACCAGAGTGAGGAGGGACAAACAGCTCCCAGGCAAACCCAAAACACCTTTTAACATCCCATAAACCAACTCAGGCAGCAGCATTTTCCACCTGGCAATAACACCCCAGGCAAGCTCAGTGGGGAACATCTCAGAAAATGTTGAAGAGAACCATCAGCACAAACTCAATTTCATTCCCAGAGAAAATTCCAAGGCTCTGAAATTCATTTTCACCCCCAATTAAAAGGAACAATCAAAAGTCTCCAATGATTTTGCAGAACGAGCCATTCCAAGATGTTTTCATCCTCAAGTGTGTGAAAGTCCAAATTGAAATTACCCTCTTAGCAGATAATTTCTTTTTAATATTTTAAAGATAAAACTGGGATCGACTGGGGGAAAAAAAAGAAAGAAAAAGACCAAACAAAACCTTTTCATTATTTCAGTTCAGAGCTGCTGCTGGAGTTGAAATGATAACATTGATAACACTGTGATGGCTCTTGCTGCAAAATCCACCACAACTGATGTTTCTAAGGAGGAGAATCAGATCAAAAAAAAGTTGTGTTTTCCAGCAGGAAAATAGAAAATATTGCAAGTGGATAATCCAGTGGTACTCTGGTTATCAGGAAAAGGAGCAGAAAGAAAAGTGCTGCCTGCCCCAGCCCTGTTTCAGCTCTGGGTGTGCTGGGGACCATGGGGTGATGGAGGAGCTCAGAATTGTGTCCTTCTTCCTCAGGAAAGAATTCAGCTCCAGGGAAAACAGCAGAACATGAATTATTTCCCTCTAAACCACCTCAGAGTGGTTTTAGGACCCAGCCCTAAAAGAACCCTTCCAGAAGATTCCTTACTGTCCTCCGAAGAGCTGCATCCCCAGCAGGGCAAAGACCACGATGAACAGGAACAGCAGGAAGAGCAAACTGATGATGGATTTCATGGAGTTGAGCAAGGAGACCACCAGATTCCTCAGGGAATTCCAGTACCTGGAGAGCAGAGCAGCCAAGGGAGAACATCAATGGGGAAAGGGAGAAATTCACGGGAATTTATCTCTGTGGGACAGGAAAAAGGAAACGGCCTCGAGCGGCACCAGGGCGGGTTTGGGGTGGATGTTGGTCATGGAAAGGGAGGTCAGGTATTGAGAAAAGCTGCCCAGGGCATGGGTATAAGTTTTATAGATTTTTAGGAATTAGTGTATTTATTTAGGATTCTTTTATAAGAAACTTAACAAACAAAGCAATGTCCCCCTGTTTTAATCGAGGCCCCATTTCAAAGATGTGCACTTGGGGACATGGTCAATGGTGGCCTTGGCTGGGCTGTGGGAATGCTTGGACTTAGAGATCTTGAAGGTTTTTTCCAACCTCACTGATTTTGTGATTCTGGTATTTTTTATTATTAAAAAAAAAAAAGGAAAATAAAGACAAGGAATATCAGAGCCTTTAAACTCCCTTCTACTCAAAATTTGTGGGAGGGCACAGACGGTCACTTGGTGTGGGTGCACCCACATGGAACAGGCAGGGAATGTTGGGATTAGCTCCTCGGGAACCCTCTTCCTGGGATTTTTCCACCTTTTGGCATCTCCTCATCCGGCACAGCAGTCAGGAGGGGTGTCAGAAGCAGGGATTTATCAATGAAGGTGAGGCTGGGAAAAGGGGACAGCGAGCCCCAGCCTCCGTTGGACACAGATCAGCGATAAAATCAGGAATAAAATCAGGAATAAAATCGGGAATAAAATCAGGAATAAACCCCTCACTACAACCTGGACATCTTTGCAGGGTCTTCTTCCAAACCCTCCAGTGCAAATATCACCCAGATTTAAATCCCCACATTTTCAACACTCCTGTAGGAGCCTCACACACATCCAGGACCAAGGAATGGCCTCAGAACATGGAAACAAATCCAGGATGTTAAACCCAGCCTGGCAGGAGGGAATGGCCCATCCCAGTCACACCTGACCAGGAGCTGATTTTTGGATGGTTTGGTTTGATCTCCCCATCCCTCGGGACAGCTCCTGGCACATTCCAGGAGGGTGCTGGGAACAGCTCTTCCCTGTCCTGCTGGAAGTGTTTGTGTGAGGAAAACCAATGAATCCAAAAATGCAGGAAGACCTCTGACAAGCTCCTTTTGGGCACAAAGGAGTGGCACACAGGGCTGGATCAGGCAGGAGCAAAGCAGGGATTTAGAGCCCTTTCCCTGCTGAAGTTGTGATTCTGAGGCCATGGAGGGAATTTGTCACTCTTTTCCTCCAACAGCTTCTCTTGTTCCCACCTCTGGCACCGGGAACTGTCACCCAGAGCCATTCCCTGCAGCAGCACACAATTTGTTGTTCCCTGAGCCTCCTCCAGCTGCAGTTTAGGGACAGACCCACACCCTGAGCCCCTTCCCAGCAGAAGGATTCCATGGAGTCCATGAGAAGCTCAGTCAGGTGAGGACAAACACCACCCTTTCCTTTTATCTCTGTTTTACCCTTCTTCCCTCCCCCAGATGGAGCTGGGAGAACCAAACCCCCCCCCCAGGTTTCCCTACAGGAAAAGCAGGATTCTGCATCCCATTCCAAGAAAAATCACCTCCATAACACAGGGACAGAGGTTTTGGGGGACAATTTTGTCTTTTGGGAGAATATCTTCAATTTTGAGTAAATTCAACCAAGTCTGCTCAGGGTCAGTGCTGATGTTGAAGGGGCTGAGCTGCTCTCCTTGGAGGAGGGGAAGGAATTGCTGTTTGACAAAAGGCTCCAGGCCAACCCTGTCCCACACCAGAGGCTCACACCTTGAAGTTAATCCAAAATATCTGGAATTGGGGAGGTTCTGCCTGGCCTTGGAGCAGCTCAGCTCCAATCCCCCTTGGCACAGAGCACTGGGATATAACCAAAGTTGATTTCTGCAGAACCAGCCCCTGTTCAGCTCTGTCATCACACGGAAAAACCATGGAAAGCTGTTTGGTCCTTGCCCTCCTCACTGATTTTAGCCCCTCAAGCTGTGTCCCCTCGTCCTGCTGTCACTTTTTAACCATTTCACTCTGCTGCCACACTCACTTGGGACATGGGAACCAAAATCCCAATCCCAATCCATCCCAATCCTGCTGATTATTCAAAGCAGGAGCACTGCAGCTGTTTCCTGCTAAACACAGAGGCAGAACAAACCAGGGCAGGGAGATTCAGACAAAAATCGCCGTGAAAAAGACGGAAAATGAAGAAAACTACCGAGGGTCGGGATGTTTTTAGTGGCATGAGAGGGGGTGGGCAGCAATCTGTGCCTGCTGCCAGCTCTGTGGAGCCTCTCATGAGTCAGGCAAGCACTGAGCTGTGTGTTCAGGCACTGGGATAATGCAGGATCCCCGTGGGAGCTGCAGGGACCTGGCTCTGGTCACGCAATGAGCTCCATTCTGTCGTGTCTGGTGAAAAATCCTCTTAATCAGGGCAGGAGTGTTCAGCAGCAGTGGCTCAGGATCATCCCTTGCTGTCCTGGGAAGGAGCAGAGCCCTCGGCTTGGGTGGGTGAATTAAACCCCTTCTCCCAAGGAACAAGGGAAAAATGGCTCAAAATGCCAGGGAGGTTTGGGGCAGCATCAGGAGGAATTTCTTCATTGAAGGGTTGTGAAACCCTGGCCAGGCTGTGCAGGGAACAGTGGAGTCCCCAGCCCTGCAAGGATTAAAAAAGCTGCAGATRTGGCACTTGGGGACAGGGGGGAAATGGTGGCCTTGGCAGGGCTGGTTGGGCTCGATGGTCCTGAAGGTTTTTTCCAACCTAAATTGTTCCCTGATCCATCCCTTTATTGTGCTGATGCAGTGAAAGGTCAAAACTCACCAAAAAATAACATTTTAACTTGCAAAAACATTCAAAAGTACAACACACAATCAGCACCAGCAAATCCCAGCAGCTCTGGAGAAAATAATAAGAAATAGTAAGAGAAAATCAGCTCTGGAGAGCTGATAATTGCTCTGCATTTGCTGCAAACCCAGGAGTTTTCCATACACGGAATTACTGCAAAGGTAAATCAAATTTCTGTGACATTTCTGGTGCAGGTACCCACCTTTTTTTTGCTGGACATTTACAGAATTTAATGTTTGAATTTAATCCCCCAGGCCAACAAACAACACAACAAACTACACACAGAGCTGGGATCTGAATAATCATAATTAGCAAGAAACAATTAGCATGAAACAATTAGCAGGTGCAAATCAGCCCCATGGAGCTACAAAACTTGCTCCTGGTTACTGCAAATGTTTTGCTCCAAATTTCTTTATCTCTTTAAAGTGGTTTGGGGTATTTTTGGAGGGAAGGGCTGCTCCCACTCGTGTTGCTTCCAGCTCAGAAGAATTCAGTGACAGCAAGAAGAGGGAACTGAGGGGGGAACAGCGTAAAAAAAATCAGGTGGGAAACAACAGCAGGAGCAGCCAAATTTGTCATTTCCACAGCAGGGTTCAGAAACGCTGCAGGAACAGCTCTGGGTGTGTTTGGGAATGGCACAGGAGCTGTTTGCTGAATACAACAGGAAAGCTGTGGCAGCCTTGGTGAAAATTCCACCTCACAGGCTCCAGATTGAAAATCTCTGACATTCCCAGCCCAGGCAGCGGCAACATTTCCGATTTGTGTCAACACAGCGGCTCAGCCCTGGGATTAGCACCCAGCAATCGCCAGGGAAGCTGCTTTTCCAGAGCCTAAATATTTAAGGAATTGTCACCAGATCAGTGGGAAGTTGATAGGGCTTAGTAAAGAAGAAACTTGGGGGGGGTTGCCAAAAAATATGAGTAAATAATGTGATTTTTGTTTTAAGTGGGCTTAAAGAGAAAGTAAAGGAGGACATTGGTTCCTCAGGAGGCTGCAGGACAAAGGTGGAGAAAACTGTATGGGACCCTGGGGAAAGAAAGGAAGGAAAAGAAAGAAAGAAAGAAAGGGAGAGAGAAAAGAAAGGGAGAGAGAAAAGAAAGGGAGAGAGAAAAGAAAGGGAAAGGAAAAAGAAAGGGAAGGAATGAAAGGAAAGAAAGGAAAGAAAAGAAAGAAGGAAAGAAAGCAAAGAAAGAAATGAAAGAATGGAAAGGACTGTTAAAATTCCTTATGGATGCAAGTACAGGAATGCAGGAATCAGAGTTCAAGCTCAGGAATTCCCTAAATTTCCACCTGCCCAGTAAAGGAAAGGGGAATTCTCCACCTGCAGTTTCCATCTGCTCCTGTCCCCCAGTGGAGCCTCTGGAGGTGCAGACACATAGAGATTTTGTGCCAGCTGCTCCAGGACTCCAGAACACTGGGTTTTTTATTATTTTTACCTTTTTGAGCCATCTAATCATTCATTTATTGTTGATAAACATGGAGAGCACTCCTCCCAGCCCTGGGGCTGGTGACACAGATCTCCTGGGGTGCTCAGAGGGAGCCACACTTACTTGGTCACTTTGAAAATCCTCAGCAGCCGCAGGGCTCTCAGGACGCTGATGCCAAAGGACGTTCCCGGCTTCACCGCAGCCCAAATGACCTCGAAAATGCTGCCCACAATGACCTGCGAGGAGAGGGCACAACTCCTGCTGAGCTCCCGGGGCTGCTTCCCAGGAAAGCCCAGGAATCAGAGCTTGGGCTCTTTTTCTTACAAAAACCTCAGGAGAATCATAAATGACCCAGGAGCAGTGGGAAACCTCATCCCAGCTTCCTCCATCCCAGTCTGGCCATACCCGGGTGGAGAACACCCCATGATTTCTACACACAAAGGAGCTGGTTGCTCTCTCCTCCAGTATCAAACTACCTTAAAAATATATTTTTTGAAGGACATCGTAATTTTTAATCATATTTTTTAACATTGGTTCAACAGCAAGTGCCCCTGTGACTTTTACACACAAAGGAGATTGTTGTTTTCTTCTCCAACATCAAACTGCCTTAAAAATACCTTTTTTTGAAGGCTAGTATAAATTTTAATGGCATTTCTTAACACTGACTCAACTGCAAATGCCAAAAATTCATCTTCCCACCCCACACACCCTGCAGGGGGGCACTGCCCCATCCTCCCCTTCCCTTCAGCAGAAATCTTCACCTGGAGCAGAGCAGCAGCTCTGGGTCAGATCTACCAGAAACTTCTGGCAGCTGAGGGCCTTGAGAAGAGCAATTAAAGCAATAATTCTGGTGAAATCCTGCAAAGCAGCTGGGTCACGCATCCAATACCTGCCTGGACCTCAGCCTTGGGGTAAAAACTCTTCCAAATCGAGGTGGGGCTTGAAAGTTTTGTTTTGGCTTAAGGATGGCAGAGAATTCACATCAACGAATGGAAGAATCCTCTCCAAAATCCTTTCTTGGGAAAAGGACTAACAGGAATGGGGTGAGCATGGCAATTACACCCACCCAGGTTTTTGGGGAGTTAATGGGATCAAACAGGCATTTCCCTGCCAATTTGGCACATATTTGTTGGTATTATCCATATGAACCCCTCATTTCTGAGGTCCCAGCTCCCAGCTGGGCAGAGCACACCACAAACACCAGTTTGGAACTGGTTCTCACCAGAGCCCGGCTGGTTTGTGCTGGGGAGAGGATTCATGGGGGGAGCAGGGCTGAAAATGCCTTTCCTGGACAGAAATTTGTGTGTCTTTGAAAATTCCTGCTTGAACACCCTGATCTTGCAGGAAATACAGTGGAAAGGGAGATTCCCAACAGCTGCTCATCCAGTTACTCCCATCTAAAGGTAAAGGAACCAAAACTTTTCTTGCAGCATCAGGAATCAGCAAAAATGTTTCCTCAGCCCCTCCACGTGTTCCACTGGTCATTAATGCTCCTGGTATCTCTGCAGGCTCCCCTGGGTGCCTGTTCCACATCAGATCCCACTGGACTGCCACTCCCAGGGCCGATGTGGCTTTGATTTGTTGTTTTGATGAGCAGCTGTTTTGCAGGGTGGATACCCAGATCTCCAGGAAATACAGTGGGACAGGGAGATTCCCAACAGCTGCTCATCCAGTGTCTCTCAGCTGAAGAAAAAGAAACCAAAACTTTTCTCGAAGCCTTGTGAATCCCTCGTGAATCAGCAAAAACCTCTCCTCAACCCATCCAGTGGTAATTAATTTTCCTGGTGTCTCTGCAGGCTCTCCTGGGAGCCTGTTCCACACCAGACCCAGCTGGGCTGTTGCTCCCAGGGCTGATGTCGCTGTGATTTGTTGTTCCATCCTTTGCGCTCGCACGGTCTCGTCCCGCTGGTTTGTCACACTAAACTGGGGACACATCTCTGTGATGTTCCAGGGCTGAATTCATTCTGGGGGCTGGAAGGTGGGTGAGGGAGAAAAAAACATGGCTGGGAGGAGGATCCCTGAGGATTCTCTGCAGGAGGAGGAATTAGAAACAGATCAGCGGCTTTGCCTCCTGGGAAACGCTTGGCAGAGCTCAGAGCCAGCGCTGTGCACACCACAGAGCACAGAGACCTCCAAGAGCTCATCTTTGGCTCTGTGCAAACTCCTCAATTACCTGCCCCTGATTGCTGTGGAAAGAGTATCCTGGGTGCAGGGATCCAAGGAAAGCAGCAGCGAGCACTGGGGGCAGCTCAGAGCCCACCCAAGGCAGGATATCGGTCTCATATCAGCCACAAGGCAGTGCCACCCCTGAACAGAGATTTGTGCTCTGATTTCCTCTGGGGACAGTCTGGGTTCGGACACTGTCCCTTGGGCTGTGCAGTCCAGCCCATCCCAGCCCTCGGAGCCACCACAGCTGCCAGGACACCCTGGAGAGGACAATCCCACGCTGGGACAGCTTTGTCAAACCTCGGGCTGCTGGACACGGGTGATTCCTCAGCTGGAGGCTTTCATCTCAAATTCCATTCATTCTGAGCTTCCACAAACAAAATAAACGGGCTCTGCCTGCAGCCTTGGATTGAGCAGGGTCACTCACTGAAGGTGACAACTCCTCTTTTGTGGGAGCAGGGCAATTTTGCTCCGTGGGGAATCGAGTCACTCACGGCATTTTGACAGATAAAGCCCAGAAACCCCAGCCTGAATTGCAGAGCTGGGCTGGTGCTGAGCGCAGTGACCTGCCCTGCTCTCCCTGTGCCTGTGGCTGTACCCAAAGCTCTGGATCAGGGCTATCACAGCAGCCCCAGCCCTGCTCAACCCATGCCAGGAGATAAAAGAGGCCCAGTTCTCCTCTTCCAGCACAGATTGCAGCCTAACAGCCTTTAATGAATCAATTAACATCCACATGCCTGCTCTGTGTTCGGGGAGCCAAACCCAGCCCTGCCATCCACACCAGAGCTGCAGTTCTGATGCCTTGGGATTTCAGTTTCTCTATTTCCATGTCTCTGTACSYCTGTGATTCTCCAGTGTTTAACTCCASACTCCACAGACAGTGCTGAGCTCCTGYTCTCCCATTTTKACACAAAACAATTCCTCTGCAGCCCCAAACTCAARGACACCTCCCTGKGCCAGGCCCCAAGAGATGGAAACAACAGAGAATTGGGGGAGCCAAGTTGGAGTTTTTGACTGCATTGGCTGCAGCTGCAATTGGAGGATTCAGCAAATCCCGATGTGCAAATGGACAAAAGTGAGAAAGGGTGAAAA